TATTTAGTATTAACCTCTTGTTAGATATCAAAGTGTTAATGCCAATCGATGGTTCTGCAGGAATTGCCTTTCTCAGCCGAGTATCCTTCTTCTCAGTGTGAGGTTTCATAAGATGCAACTAGTCACGATTAAAAAAAACGCCTCCATGTTCTAAGTTTGTAAAACCTGTGACCGTCCTCCAGTGGCTGCTCCTTCACTAGCATAATTATGGCATTGAGGTCTTTTCTTTATTTCCATGCCTTAACCCATGATTACTTTGGTATTCTTTCCTCATTCTTCACAATGAGTTAAAAGCCACAATACACAAAACTAAGGCGTAATAAAGGAAACTATCTTTGTGCTCCGTGCTACTGTATAGTCAATAAACTATGCATTCAAAGCCAGAAAAAATATATAGTCTAATTGCTAAGGCAAGGGTCATAACACAAAGGAAAGTCCCTAACATACTTCTAAAGTTGAGGTCAATTTGGAGCTCAAAAGATATAGAATGAATGCTTGGCATGTTGTCTGGACAAATTTAGTCTTTGGTTCCAGACATGGAAGGTTGTGGATATGATAGATATTATCACGAAGTTGATGATGGTATTGTTGATAAAGCTGAGTAGGTGGAGAGATATATGTATAGATTTTTTACTTAGTCTTAGATACAAATGCAGTTGTGAATAGAGAAGTAGATGTAGTAGATGTAGATGTATAAGCAGATACTGATTTAAAAGTTATTACTTTGGTTGGTCAAACTGTATCATTGTTAGTAATGATGCTAGTTTATTATTTTTATTTATAATTGATTAATGATGAAGTAAAAATACTTATTTATTGTGTTTAAGGTAATACTTTTGCAGATGGTGATGTAGCAACAGGGAATGCAGTTCTTCCATCTTTAAGTTAGCAAGCTAATGGATGCATTAAAATCTCTTTGCCTTCTGCATAGTCTGCACTGTGATATTGTAACTTCTCATACTTCCCTGCCCTCTCTCTTCTCTTTTGCTTTTATTTTCTCTCACTTTCTCTTTTGCTCTTATTCTCTCTCTCTCTCTCTCTCTCTCTCTCTCTCTCTCTCTCTCTCTCTCTCTCTCTCTCTCTCTCTCTATCTATCTATATATATATATATATATATATCTGTCTGTCTGTCTCCGTCTGCCTCCCTGTCTCACTGTCTCTCTCTCTCTGAATCTCTCTCTCTCTCTCTGAATCTCTCTCTCTCTCTCTGAATCTCTCTCTCTCTCTCTCTCTCTCTCTCTCTCTCTCTCTCTCTCTCTCTCTCTCTCTCTCTCTCTCTCTCTCTCTCTCTCTCTCTCTCTTTCTTTCTCTTTCTCTCTCTTTCTCTCTCTTTCTCTCTCTCTGTAAAGGTTATAAACACCTCTATACATTGGTAACAGGGAAGTAGTAAAAGCTTAGTGGCTAGAACTCTTTTATTGATAGAGCTAGCACACGGAGTTGAATCACAAGATGACAAGGTTTGGGTTAAGGCGAGGGCGCCTAGGTCAGACGGCAAGCCCTACCAACTGCAACCTGGCCGCGGGGTCAGGCGTGACCCACCTCGGCACAGAACACTCTCGTCACACTCTGCCTTGAGGGATCCTCTGCAGGCCTTACATATCCGAGCGTTGGCTTGGGGAACGAGGGTAGGTAGCATTCCTCCAAGCCGCGGTTGGGCGGCGTGGGGAACGAGGCTAGGTAGCGTCCAAGCCGGCAGGTAGCTAGCGTGGGCGGCAACGCTGCTGGTACAAGCATCAACGTGGTCTGTATACAGTATATTGTATATTGCTCGGCCACCTACTCACGGCTCGTCCTTGAGGCGATCTAGACTTTCCTCAAGGGTGAACCAACCTGGCTGGTTCCAACTTGCTCGTCCTCGATCTCGGGTGCGGTATCCTTGGTGCATCTCCGTGGCTGCTCGTTCTGTGTCGTCATCCTCGCTCTGGTCCCTGGGAATCCGTTCGTCCTCGACATCCTCACGTCCTCGATTGGTCTCGCACGGTCCTCGTCCAGACATCCTCGTCTTCCGCGCACAGGTCCAACTCGGCGGCTTATTCGCCCAATGCACGTCTCGCAGATCTCCGTCCAGATCCTTCTCGGCTGCGCGCTCGTACAGACGTCCTCGTAATCAGTATCTACGGGCGTCCGGCAGGAAGCGTCCTCTTCAACTTCGTAGGGCGGCTGATACCTGCACTAATGAGCTCCTGGAGTTTGACTGAGTCTGCGGCGTCCAGGCAGGCGGCGCCCGTCCACAGCATCACAGGGCGGTGAGCCTGTACTGGCGAGCTCCTGTCTTGCTGGATCTCGGGTGTCCTGGCGAGCGGCGATCCTCCGATGACGTTTTCCAATGGCTTCCGAAGGTGACCGTTTCTGCAGCAGGGCCTCCTTCGGTGCCGTTTCAGATATCGGGAACCAGAATAACACATAATGGGCCAGATAGTGAGAGAAGGAAAAACGACAGAGAAGAGAAGGTGTTAAAAGCTAGAAGCCGATTTTTTGTTTCATAATTTGCAGTTTTTAA